GGTGACCAGAAACGAGGAGGTTTCGGAAGCCCAGAGGGCCGAGGCGGCCCGAAGCTCCGCTCCGACCCACAGCCTTGCAGAAGCGTGGGGCAGGCGGAGGTCGCTGTACTTGCTCCGACGACAAACCTCCCGTCCGTGGGCACAGGAACACGCAGAGAAGCTTCCCCGTGGCTGCCAAGACTGAGTCACTAGTGGAAACTTACTCCCCCGTTTACGAAAAGGGGATGATGTTTAACTTTTTACAATGTATTTAGAATACTAGGGGTAATAACACATACATGAACATTTCCAGAAGTTTTAACTGTCACACTGCGATTATGAATTTATGTGGCCCAATCAGGAAGCAGACATTTGCATACAAACATTTCATCACCGTAACTTCAATAAGCAGAAAATAACTAATTGGAGCACTTGGCAATCAAGAAAACAAGAAAAATGCTACAGCCGGTGACAGAAGAGGGAAACATAAGGGCACAGGCATGAACAGGCAGAGCAACATTCCCATTTTTCGGTTCTCTTTGGTAGTTCAAAGCAACTGCAAACACGCAGACGGGAATTTCACAAGTGTATTGTAAGGACTCACTGAGATTTCCACAGATGAGGAAATACCGTATAAAAAGCAATTTGCCCACAACCCTTGGCTGGCAGTTTGGAACAGGAGACATTTCGTTTCCCCTAATAGCTATAAAATGAGCTGGTGTTACATACGGCAGCGCTGGCATTTCTCAGAGCACTACGGGCCTTCATAGAACATTCTGGTAGCATTTGATGTTCAGAAAGTGCAAGCATCTTCATTTCAACAGAACCTTCACCATCACACAGCCATTGGTGTCCGATTCCGCTGGAAGACCACGCTGCTGTAGGCAACCTCATTCTGGGGACGTGAAAGAAGCCACAAACATTAGAGTGGGCAAGTATCACATCTCAGCATTAATGTCCTGCTCTTAATTTGTCCTCCGCACTACAGACCATAAGCAGTCACAGCCTGTCCCTGCACATGGGACAGCAGTAAACGCTGCGCTGGCTCAGACCAGTTGTCAGTCTAGCTCAGGATCCTGGGTCGACTCTGCATTAGGGGCTTCCAAGGAATCAATAACATGAAGGAAAACTGCCAAAATGCTTGCCCTTTAGAAAGATTTTCCCCTAACCTGCCTAATCAGTGGTTTAGTCAAGCCCCAGAATCCTTGAAACATGTGTGGAGTATGGCACTTGAGCCCTTCTGGTAACAGAGGAGGAACAGCCTTCCCAGTAGGAACTGCTGTCCAGGCACCTCCTCAGGCGACTCCCTGAACTCCCACAAACACGGGCTGAAGCGCTGGCTGCACAAAAGAGAGCATTTTACCTCAGCCAGAAGAACTGTTGGCTAACACTCCAGCCTCGTAAGAGCAAACCTCGCCCCCCCTCAATTAACGTTTACCCTTCTATCAAGAACCTAAGCTTCTCCACGATGACTATTATTTCTAGTACGTGCCCTTTACCTGGCTGTTCATCGCAGATTCCTCAGTCGCTGCCTGGGAGGGAACTTGCTCTTGAAAGTCTTGGTGGGATCTCTTATACTCTGGGAAGGAGAGGGATACCCGCCTCAGCCGTCTGCACCGCCTGGGGACAGCAGCGCAGGAGAGGCTCGAGCGGGGTGACAGAGCAGCACCAGCGAGCGCGTGGCTTAGGCGTCGCCCCAGAGCTTTGCTGCCAGGCGAGCGCTTGGGCAGCCCAAGTCCCTGCCCACCCGGTGGAAGCGGCTGGGATGAAAGCCGCTGAGGGCTTTGGTGAGAACTCTGCGTGGCTGGTATTAGGACAGAAAACCCCCCAAACAAACACACCCGCCAAAAGCCGCCACACTCATCGGGGCTAAAGTTAATCCTCCCCTGAAAACAGCCCCTGGGATGGTTTGTGAGGAGTTCCTGCCAGGAGTGACCTGTTCATCGATACGTTAGTTATTCCAGGAGACATGATCTGTAGAAGCGGCTTTGAAACCCTCGTGCTGCACGATGCAGCCCGGAGAGCAGGGAGGCTCAGCACCATCCGTGCTCAGGTGCGCAGCACCTCTCTGCCACCAGGCCTGGATCCTCATGCTGCCGTTGGCCCCTCCGCTGGGACACTTACTTTTTCGGCAGAGGCAGATAACTGCAAAAACCAGAAGGGTCGACAGGAGGCCAGAGAGAAAGGCTAGCGACACGTAGAGGATTTCACGGCTGTTGATATACAGAAAACTGTGTCAGAATCCCCAGTTTTACGAGAGGCGTTGAAGAATCAGCAGTGCTCAGGTTCACCAGACTTTATGAAATGTAACACACCGTTTGTCCCAAGCCCCCTGAGATCAAAAGGCGTGTATCTGCATTACACATCCCTCGGAACTAGGCTCTTAGTGCACAGACTAAGAAATTGTAAGCAACCTTTCAAAACCCCAAGACATGAAATGCATTACACACGACCCCTCCACTGCAGAAGGAGCCTGCAGTCTCAGGGGACGGGGTCTGAAGTCAGGAAATAAAGGTGGAGCATTTACTCATCAATCCAGCATTTGACTTCTGAAGCTTTCAAGGCAGCTGTAGAGGTATATACAGTGGTATGTACGGGGACAGTGGTGAAAATGGGTTCTGGTGTAACTGGAACCGAACAGAAAAAAACATATCAAAACCTGGGTTTAAAGCGTGTTAATTTCTCCCGTAATATCAGAAGCAACAAGAACCGCACCGAGGCACAGACCTATTCAAATAATTATAAGTGCAACATTTCTCTATCAGGGGCTGAAAGGGGAAACACCAAGTAGAAAAGAAGTTATTCACAGTACTACTGTCCCACAGCAGCCTCTGGCAGCCGTGGGTTCTTCCCCAGACGCACAAATCTCCTGCTCAGCTACGCCCCCAGCAGCCCCTTTTCAGTCAGGACAGCATCGACTTGGTCAAGAACACCGCATTTAAGAAAATTCCTTGAAGAAAAAAATACCTGCATTTGCTTTTGAGGAACCACCTCCCATTTTCTCCAAACACTAATGAACAGTAAGAGAAGCTAAAAGGAGGGGAGGGGAAAAAAAAAAAAGTTATATTTATATACATAAACGTACACACACCCTAGAGCAAAACGAACCTGTCCCCCTCTTCTAACTCACAGACTTTAATCAATTTTCCAAGCACCTTCTACAAACTGCCACAAAGCCACAGCAGCAAAACCACAATTACTCAGCACAAATCCCCCTTTCCAATGTCTTGTTCCTGTGCACGCTTGCGCACGTTCACCACACTTCGGTGAACACGCTGCCTTCTTTCACAGGACGGCAGGAGTTGGAAGGGACCTCTGGAGATCACCAGCCCAATTCAAGAGGATGGAGTACATTTAAGAACTAAAAAAAGCACCACGGTGGTGTTACTGCAGCAGCTACAACTGAGTGAACTTTGTGAGCCTTTTCATAACCAGAAGCTTTGAAAAAAACGCCCCTTTAAGTTTTTAGTTCTCAAGTTACACTGACCTTTTCCACCAAAGCAGGAATCTTCTCAGATTTGGAGGCACCCCTTAAAGACAGGGCAATACCAGCCCACTACAACATCCCTACCCTGCTGTTCTCCCCACACGGCGTGGAAGCGCTGCCAACATCCCCTTCTCCATTGCCAACATCTTTTCGCCCGCTGCTGCCCATGTTCCACAAGCGCCAGAGGGGTGGGACCTCCCCGCTCCCTGCGCCAGGCCCGGCGGCCCGCGGTGCCTGCGGGGAGAAGGGAACAGGGAGCGACACGGCTCCACCTTACCTGGCCCCGCCGAGCTGCCGCCCCGCTGCCAAGCCCCCGGTGCACAGCGCAGCCCCGTAACCGCCGGCGCCGCGGGCAGAATCTCTGCCCAGCTCCGTTACAGCCCAAGCGTCACTCAAATGCCGAGTTGCACAAATATGGAAGTTGAGCAACTTCACTTTATTAAAAGAAACAGGAAACTATGAAAGACACCTGCATTCTCAGCAACGGCTGATCTAAAAGGAGTCAGCTTCAGTTAGCCTGCTTTCAGGTAAGGTCCTCCCCTCTAAAGAACACCTTTTGGGGGGCAAACTGTTGAACAGTGTAGGAAACGGTGCTATTTTACTAACTCCACTAAAAATAACCATTTCCCTCCTGTAGTACCACCCCACCTACGAGAGGCACGTAAGCACGCCCCGTCTGCTTACTTCAGCTTATTCACTACGTAAATGGCTTCCCAAGGCAGAGAGGATGGGATTAGCCCAGGGAAGGGCTTTGCTCAGCTGCAACACTGGTGATACAACAAAATCCTTCAGGGAGACAGTTGCCTATAAAAAGAAAATGAAAAAGCTTACACTGTGTATTACCATAATACACAGAAAACTATTTTCCTTATTACACAAAAAAAACTTTAAAAGCAAGCAACTTTTTTTTTTCCTATGAAAATCCAGAAAAAACACCCTCTAGAACAAACTTAGCCATTTCACTGTCTCAAACGAAATACTGGCAGGTTCAGTCGAAGCCAAGTTCTCCAGTAGCTTTCGATACATTTCCTGCCAGCTACACCCTCTTTCCCACAGAGCAGAAAGACACTTCCGTCACTATTTGTTATGAAAGTGGGGGTTTCAGTCCATTTTTAAAACGAGGACACATTCCGAGTACCTCCATGGACTGGACCGGGGGAATGGGAGCACTGGCACTCACTGTGGCTTTAGATCATGTTTAGAACTACAGAAGGCATCTGCAGTCGCTACCACACCGCATCCCAAAATAAAAACCCATCGCTGTATTCACACCGCTATTTCTCACTCTGGAAGCATTCCTGACCAAAGAGAACGGCACGTGCTGCTGTGGCAAGTAATTCCCCGCTATAAACCGCCAGCAGCGGGCTATGGGACCAGTCCAGCTCCTCCGAACGCAAAGAGGAAACAACAATTGCTGCTGCTAGTGAACGACAGCAAAGCGGTTGGTTGGTTTGTTTAATGAGACTTCAGAATCAGACAGCTTCCAACAGTAAACAACGAGGCGCACGGGCACGGAGCCGTGGATCGGACGTGGCTACACCGCTGCCTGCGCGCTCTTCGACAGCGCCTTCAGGTCCAAAATGCACTTTGCAATGCTCTCCTTCTGCTGCAAAAGAAAGGGGAACGGCTTTCAGAAGAAAGACTTTATGAAACACATTTAAACAAGCAGGACAGACATTCTAGTGCCTTCTAGATACCCCTTTTCAGACCCGCGAGTTACAGATTAAAAGAGATTTAATTATAGCTCGTGAGGTCAGACATTCAAATCCAAACCACCACCCACGTTAGAGCACCTGCATGCAGTGCCAGGAACAGGTTTTCTTGTTCTCGGCTCCACTCCTTGAGAGAAGAGCATCTCGAGCCCACTGCAGATCTCAGCTCCACAGCCTTACACCGAGGATTTTACAAGCGAGTTCCCTGACCCGTCGGCTCCACACCTCATCCCTTGGAGCTCAGCCCCACGCTGCGACCACAAACACCACGTGTGCTTCCAGCTTCAAGCACCAGCCACGCAAGCACCCGGTGCCCAGGAGCTGGGCTTGCTGCTCCCAGCCAGCAGCAGGGACACGTTGCAGCCACGCTCAGAAGTCACCCCAAGAGGACCTGTCACCTCCCGGCTTAAGCCAGAGTCACTGGACAGCAGGTACTGGCGCAGATAAAACGTGAGGCGGATGAAGACAAGCGAGTACCTGCTGAGGGGTGATGCTCTGAACAACACTCTTCTCTACCCACTGAATCATGTGATCTTGCTCCTTCTGACGCTTCAGGTTCTGCATCGCCACCTGATAGTCCAGCCTTTTCTTTACTTCGTTGTACACCATCAGTAACCTTTCTCGGTAATTCGCTTCCAGCAACATCGCAATGTTGTTCTAGAGACAGAGGACGAGACCAAAGGGTTAACGTTTGGCAAGAACACCAGCCAGCAGCACCGCACCTCCTATACGGGATCAGGCAGCGGAACCTGCCCTGGCTGCATCAGGCAGAGGGCAAACGGTCCGTTACTCCTTGGCCACGCGAGAGGCTCCCAGAGCGGGCAGCAGAGCACGTGGTGGACGCCAGCAGCCGAGCTGGGACTGCGTACCCGCTTCGCGTCAAAGAGGTAATTACAGCCCTCGACCCGCCACTGCTCCTTCTTCTCCTCTTCAATGGCAGTCTCGAGATCGTGAATAGTCTCGTTTTTCACGGCTAAAGCTTTAGCAACTTTCTCCTGAAAGAAACCAAAAACGTGCTTCAGAGTGAAAGCAAGATGCAAGGGAAGCAACTGGTCTGCAATTAACTTCTGAAATTCTGCAGTAAGATTTGAGAAATGTCTGCATGAGCTGGATCGGGCCAGGGTTGAGATTAAAGGATGCCAAGATGGAAGAATTAGAGTTCACAATCAATCGTACTTTAAAAAAAAAAAAAAAAAAAATCATTTGTGCTGGTATGAGGTGTTTTATTTTTGAAGGTGTATGTAACAATACCAGCCTAACACCTCAAACTTGCCTCGTTTAAGCAACACCCTGACAGTGCCAGACTCAGATTTTTGTGACAGCCTGGACACAGTATTCCTTTAAATATTTAAGGAGGTAACCTAGAACAGTTATTAACTACTACAAAGTTAGGTTCTGGTTTCTTTTCTTACCTCATTAAGTTTGTCAGCAAAAGCTGCTACATCAGACCCATATTTTTTCACGCCGTAAATGATGACTGATAATATGCAGATGGCTGCAACTGTCTCGTGGTTAATGACATAGATTTCCTTAGAGAGCAAGTAAAGCAAGAGTCCAGTTCCCAGCATGTAAGGCCCTAAGGAAAAAAGAAAGCAGCATTATTGGAACAAAGCAGAAAGAGGCTCACTGAAGTCCAACACCTAAGGGGCAGCTAGCTTAAGGCCTACAAGAAGATCAGGAAGGGATCTCTTTTACCACAACAAAAAGTAAAAAGCCAATACCACCAAGGGGAAGGGTGTCACGAGGCCACTCACCAGTAGGGGAAGCAACTTGCACCTTGCATGGGACATTCACAAACAGGCAAAAATCCCTCATCTAAAGGCTCTGAGGGACAGTAGGCAAATAAACCTTCCTGTAAGATCTAACTCATGACATTCTTTTAGCCTTTATTTCAAGCACAGGTGCCCAGCTTTAGAGCCAGGAAGTGCTGCACTGCCTCATTCTTCACAACCCCTTTCTGCACATACAAAAAATAATTTCCCCCCGACATCTCACCTTTTCAGCAGCCAGAAGTGGTGGAGAGAACTAAATAAGCCTAACTAAACACATATTTTTTTAAAAAATAGAAGTAAACATTAACCTGTAACTCCTGTTTTAGGATAGAGAAACTTGAAAAACTCCTCAGGGATCAAACCATAACGCACTTCGCCTCCTTTCTCAGGCAGAGGTGGCAAAGGAGCCAAACACTGCTGACTCGTATGCAGTGGTCTTGTGGTGTGCAATACGCTATAAATAATGAGAAAGTTTCTATTAAGCTTTTTATTAAAAAAAAAAAAAAACAAACAAACTCCAAAACACCCTTAAACGAGGCTCAAACGCATTTCAAATTG